TTTATGTTCAAGATTGGGTTGATCCGGGTTAAACAGTACTATCGCTGTTTTTTAAATCATTTCAATATCATTGCAATAATTCTGTATTTTAATAATAAACACTTTGTTAATAATAAACAAACAGTTAATCATACCAGTTAATTTTTGATTTTTAATTGTTATTATTATTATTACAAAATTGCTTTTAAACTGAATAATTTTAAAACAATTGTTATTTGCTTTATGTATTGAATCTTATTTATATTATTTTTATAATAATAAATTAATAACTATTCTGGAATAAAAAGTTGACAGATTTGTTTTATTGAACTAATATAAAAATAATTTTTAAACATCATTATAAGTTAAGCAGTAATTTATTAAAACTAATGTTATTTTTAAACAAAATGCATGCATATTCATTAAATTTAAAAATTCAAATTAGCAATAATAATCATTATACTAAATAAACAGTAAAATATTCTAATATAAATATTACAATATACATGTTATAATATAAATTAAGTAAGAATTCATTTTATCGTATTATTATTACCCTGTTTGACACCCTATAGTGCGCGCATTATCTGAGAAAAAAGTGATTTTTTGGGAAAAAGTAGAGGGGCGCACTATACGCAGGGTGCGCATTATCTTGACAAATTACAGTATATAATTTTCAAAAATAATTATTTATTATAATTTCAAATTAACTTCAAATCAAATCTAAATCTATATCGGATTGAATGTCATGGCTTCATCGGAAATGAATAATGATTTAGAGTTAGAGAATGAGCCATTCCTATGATTCTACACTTTATTTAACCATACAATCATTAATTCAGAAGATATACAGCAATTTATTTGAGCTCTTACTATTACACCCTTTGGGAACTGTCCTGTTAGTATTGCTATCCTTTTTAATATAACAAATGGGCTTAATTTCCTGGGTATATATACATGTTATAATATGGGGGCACTAAACGTAGGGTGCGCACCATCTAAGTAAAAAACCTTCATTTTTGTAAAAACTGAAAGCGCACTATACGGTGGGGGCGAATTATAGTGCGTCAAACAGGGTATATGCATGTTTACAGAGAAGTAATATTAGGGCGAACTATATACAGTCAAATAGGGCAATAGAAATAATAACTTTTTGAATTATAATGATATGACATTGCAAAATATGCTAGTACAATATATTATGGTAAAATTAGTCATAAAAATAGCATTGTAATTTTTAAAAGTGCTGGTTTAACATTCTTATGTAAATGTTTATACTGTATATTATATATAGTATATATAATACAAAATATTCAAATTAAAATATAATTTTGAATTACTTTCTTACTTTAATTGAGTTACAGTAAATTTATAATTTATCGCCAAGTTATGATTATGAAGTTATCAGTTAAACTTATTTTGATAACTAATATATTATCCATAGTTTGCATACAATTATCGCAATCAATGCGTTACAAGCAATTGATTTGCAATCAATTGTTTTCGTATTACAACGAAACGGATATTAGTGTCGAGTGTAGGCAAATAATCCATCATTTATTGGACGATAGCCTTATTGTCCAACAGGAATGGCTGTTCACAAGTAATTATTTATAAAATAAAATTACGATTTAATCATTTTATTCCACATTAAGTGGTGGACTCTTCGGCCACTTTGGGCACCGGTATCTTAAAGGGAACGACACATTTCTTTGGAGACTATGATGAGTGTCTGGGTATTAATTCACACACAAATGGAAACGGTATTCACATATTGGGTCAGTATTGTACTTTAGAGATACCCATGAGATATATTATTGGAAATGTGCATGTATGTATAATTTATATGATATAATGTTAAAATGTTAAAGGTATGTCACTACTAGTTTACTAATCATGATCTATATAGATTAGTTATGGTCAATTAGGATTATATGTTAGTGGGAAAAGGTTTCGATAATTCCAGAAATTGTTGATAGTATTTTGGGAATATAGGAAATTCCATGGATAGTATAATTAAAATTAAACAAGGTTTATTAATATATTTTAATGAAATTTTTATATGTTAGTGGGAAAAGGTTTCGATAATTCCAGAAATTGTTGATAGTATTTTGGGAATATAGGAAATTCCATGGATAGTATAATTAAAATTAAACAAGGTTTATTAATATATTTTAATGAAATTCAAGATATTTAAGCAAATTTTATAAATAATTTCATTCGAAATATTAATGAAAAATTATACTAATCATTGATATTAACTAATGTGTGATATTTTTCAAAATATTATAATTTTTTATAATTAAAAGCTGCCATAAATAATATGTAAGATTTTGGAAGTCTGGAAAACTGTCAAAAATTTCTGGAAATATCGAAACCTTTTCCCACTAACATATAATCTTAATTGACCATAACTAATATAGATCAACTTCAGTTTAATAGTCCATCATTTAACTAAACATTAACTTAATAAACATATTATAAAACTTTATTTCTTAACATTCAGTTCAAAGTAAGGGATGAATTGAATGGTATGAACGCATCGATCGGTATTTGTTTGCCCAGTGTTTGCAGTGAACGCGATATCAATGCAATGCTTCAAAAATGTATGATTTTACGAAATATGTTGCATGATGAAATATTTTTAAAATGTTTAATACTTCTCAACAGATTCATTGAAACACTTATTGAGCGCACGATTAGAGCAATGCGTTCACAGAAATGATAATCCGATTCAATGGTTGCATATCATCATTGGGTTTGTATTTGTTGTTTAAGGTTATATGTAGACAATAAATATCTAGCTTAAAATATTACAAATTAACAATATGATGTTGCATATAAATTTAAAATTTAATTTTTTATAATTATCTTTTGTAAATGAAACCGAGAAGTTGCTGCTTTATTTTAATTATCATGCTGGCTATTTTGGGAACAATATTGAGTAAATTATATTCAACAACTACAAATAATAATGGTAACATTCATTTTCAATTGTTTTCAAAATTTCAAATAATATAAATATAAATCCCATAGAATTGGTACAAACTTTCCGTGTATTTGCGGAAATGTTTTCAATCCCTAAAAACACTTGTAATCTGTTTCGAGTGGACACACATTGGGATCAATGGTTGTCGTGTTTATCGGGAATACGAACCCTATTATCATTGTATATAATTTTGCTTCATTACCATGAGTTCAGGATCAATACTCCAAATCACAGTACTTTCAAATGTATCAATGACCAAGAGCATTATTTATAAATACGTTTTATTATATTAGCAAATAGTCTGCAAGTAATGGACAAATTTGAGATATTATTTGATATACTAAAGACATTTCAAATGCTATCTATGGTTACCTATTATATGATAAGTGGTTTGCTTCGAGCAAATGGACAGTTAGGCCGATCGCATGGGACGGGTAGCACTTCAGCCGTCAAGTGTTTGTTTCCGATCCGCAAAATCATTCGCCGATTCGTACGCCTAATGCCATCCGTCGGCGCTGTCATTGCATTTGCCATTTTATTAGAGGTGTTGGGGTCGGGGCCCGTGTGGCACCAGTATATGATTCTTAACTCTGGAGTTTGCCGTCACAATTGGTGGGCCACCATGCTCAATTTGAACTGGTTTAATTTATGGAGCACTGTATAATTAATTTTGTATTTTATTTAGAAGTAATAGTTATTAATACACATATATTCATAGTGTATTGGAGTAACATGGTCGTTGCAAATCGAATGGAAACTTTTCATAATTTCACCTTTATTATTAGTATTTTTAACTGCTAAACAAATCAAGTACAATTTAACATATTTTTATTATTCGTGTTTAAGATCCGGTAAAAGTTGTTTTAAATAGTGGGTAAAAAGGGAATGTTGTAAAACATAATTTAGTAGCAAAGCCTTAGTATCTTTACCTAAGATTCAAAATTGTTAGTCATTTCTATCACTAATCTCTTGGAAAATAATTTTTGATGAAAACATATTCATCGATTCATTTGAAAAAGTATATAAAAATTAAATGAATATTTTCAAAACATTCATGCAAAATACTTTTGATTCATACAAATATGACTCAAATTAAAAATAAATTCAATAAATTAATCATAGTTTAAATAAACACCTTGCTAATACTTAATTTGAATCATATTTATTCTGTATTTTTTAAATTAATCGATGAATATGTTTTTATAACAAATTATTTTACAAGAGATTAGTGATAAAAATGATAACAATTTTGAATCTCAGGTAAAGATACTAAAGCTTTGCTCCTAAATTATGTTTTACAACATTCCCTTTTTACCCACTATTTAAAACAACTTTTACCGGATCTTATTCATGTTACAAACAATACAATGGACAAGAATATACAATTATGATTATATATTCAATTTTAAAAATATTATATTTTTAGAAAACAGGTGCTGGGTATTAGAATTAACTTGATGGTTATTATGCTAAGCATGGTTGCAATTGGCGTAATATATGTGCAAATTAATGCCCAATTGAGTACAAATATTACTAGTATGTAAGTATAATATATAATAATAATAATGATGTTAGTAATAATAAAACAATGTCTAGATTTGTTAAAGAAATTTATTTAAACATAATTACGTATATGGGACCTTATTGTATCGGGATACTATTAGCGTACTATTATCGCAAGTACTCGAATAAGCGTTACGCAAAATATGTACATATTTTGTAGATTATTGCAAACAATTTCAATAATTTAATAATTTTTTAGGAATACAGTTCTATTTTATGGAAATTATGTATTGCAACAATGACCATGATACTATTAATCAGGCTGTTATATCAAAACCAATCCATGCCATCGGATAATATGTTGAGTGCATTGTATGTCTCAATCCATTGTATATTATGGTCTATATGTGTGGCGTATATCATATACTCGTGTGGGACGGGTGGGGCACCGGTGCTCAACGGTATATTGTCGTGGGAGGGATGGCTACCTATTAGTAAACTGACTTTTCAGGCTTATCTCATTCAGCTAACTGTTCACAATTATATGTTTTACACAATCAGACAACCAGTTTACATAACAGTGGGGACAGCGGTAAGTGTTTATTAAAATAGATTTTGTATTTTAAACTCAATTAATAGTATTTTTAAATCTAATTTATTTATTTAATTATTATTGCAGTTATTGGAGTACATATCCCTGGTGATTATTACATTTATTATCAGTTATTTCGGTTATGTTTTAATTGAAAGTCCATTCATTCAAATTGCAAATGAATTCCTATGAAAATTTAATAATAAATTATATTGTTTATTGAATCTACTAATGTAGTAAACAAATATTAAACAATTTATTTTATTCTGATGCCACTATTGCAAAACATTTGCAAAACAAAACATTTTGTAAAACTGCAAAAACATTTCTAAACTATTTTTGTGTAATCTTACACTAGTATTCAGTTAATAGCTTTCATATCCTATGCAATAAC